TTCAGAACTCACAAAGTGGCACTTACTTTAGATCAGGGTTGTCCAGTCTTATCCAGAATGAGCCAGTGTGGCTGAAGGTTTTCATACTAACCAAGCAGAAGCCACACTTTAGTCTATTGAAAGCCAAGATCAGAAGATCAAACAATTGGAATGAGGTGTGGCTCCTGCTAGATTGGAACGAAAACCTGAATATTGGACAACCCTGCTTAAGACCAATCAGCATATAGGCATATTTGCTTGTTAAATATAAAACATTGACTATGTAGACAGCTGATAGCGGATAATGTACACCTCTCGTCACAGTTTGCATGCTAACTTGTCGCTAACAGAAGACAGACCCGATTTTCTCACATTTTTGCCCCTTGTTCAAAGGTGAAACGTGCCCTGATGGATAATGATGTGCTTCCAAACAGCAAAGAATCACTAACAATACAACTGGGAAGCTGAAAGGCTTCTAAAAGGCCTGCATTGAAGCCTATGGCACACTGTATTGCCAACTAATTTTCAGTTAGGTCCTTCCTTCCTTTTGTTCCAAGTACCATAAAGTAGCACTTAAAGGCAGAATTTACACTGTGCATTGGCCGGGAATCGAACCCGGGTCAACTGCTTGGAAGGCAGCTATGCTCACCACTATACCACCAATGCCCACCGTTATAGCACCAATGCCATGATGGGAAATCCCATTGTGGTGTGCAAAAGTTTAAGAATGTGCATTTCTCATCAGCAGACCATAGTCAACAGCCAAAGCAAGAAGCTTGTGTGGTTTCTGTAGTGTAGTGGTTATCACGTTTGCCTAACACGCAAAAGGTCCCTGGTTCGAGACCGGGCGGAAACAAGCTGCCAATTTGGAATTTTGCTTTAATAACTGACCGGTTGTCATCACTATAGGATCAGATCCTCAATGAACAGCCCGAAAGCGAGACCTTGAGCAGAGCAGAATGCCTGCTTTTGTAGCAAAGCAGATAAGATACAAAATGAAAGGGAATCTCTGGTTTTCCACAGAACTTGGAAGCCTGTCTCTTTATTTGCTCAGTAAGACTCTCAACTTGACTGGAAATTTTCCTGTAAAGTACTGGTCACCAAGTTCACCTATCAGCAAGAGGTCTCCGCTCGAAAAAGGCTGGGAGCGGTTTGGAATTTTGCTTTAATAACTGACCGGTTGTCATCACTATAGGATCAGATCCTCAATGAACAGCCCGAAAGCGAGACCTTGAGCAGAGCACAATTCCTGCTTTTGTAGCAAAGCAGATAAGATACAAAATGAAAGGGAATCTCTGGTTTTCCACAGAACTTGGAAGCCTGTCTCTTTATTTGCTCAGTAAGACTCTCAACTTGACTGGAAATTTTCCTGTAAAGTACTGGTCACCAAGTTCACCTATCAGCAAGAGGTCTCCGCTCGAAAAAGGCTGGGAGCGGTTTCCCTTCCATTGTGCTTTTGTTGCAAGGCAGATAACAGCTGCTTGCAAAATAACAGGGAATCTCTGCTTTTCCACTGACTGTGGAAGCCTGACTCTTTCCTTGATCAAGAAGACAAGGGTAAGGATGCGTTTGACTCGAGGTTGCAACTTGTAATTCCCCACCTCCAAGCAGGAACATACAACGAAAACGCACCCTCGACTTGAAATTGCCATTCGTCAACAATGGGAAGTCTTCTCAACTAGCAGTGCCTTCCCTGTTCATCGAGTGACGTCAAGTCAACATGACCGATTCAGAACTCACAAAGTGGCACTTACTTTAGATCAGGGTTGTCCAGTCTTATCCAGAATGAGCCAGTGTGGCTGAAGGTTTTCATCCTAACCAAGCAGAAGCCACACTTTAGTCTATTGAAAGCCAAGATCAGCAGATCAAACAATTGGAATGAGGTGTGGCTCCTGCTAGATTGGAACGAAAACCTGAAGATTGGACAACCCTGCTTAAGACCAATCAGCATATAGGCATATTTGCTTGTTAAATATAAAACATTGACTATGTAGACAGCTGATAGCGGATAATGTACACCTCTCGTCACAGTTTGCATGCTAACTTGTCGCTAACAGAAGACAGACCCGATTTTCTCACATTTTTGCCCCTTGTTCAAAGGTGAAACGTGCCCTGATGGATAATGATGTGCTTCCAAACAGCAAAGAATCACTAACAATACAACTGGGAAGCTGAAAGGCTTCTAAAAGGCCTGCATTGAAGCCTATGGCACACTGTATTGCCAACTAATTTTCAGTTAGGTCCTTCCTTCCTTTTGTTCCAAGTACCATAAAGTAGCACTTAAAGGCAGAATTTACACTGTGCATTGGCCGGGAATCGAACCCGGGTCAACTGCTTGGAAGGTAGCTATGATCACCACTATACCACCAATGCCCACCATTATAGCACCAATGTCATGATGGGAAATCCCATCGTGGTGTGCAAAAGTTTAAGAATGTGCATTTCTCATCAGCAGACCATAGTCAACAGCCAAAATAAAAGGCTTGTGTGGTTTCTGTAGTGTAGTGGTTATCAAGTTTGCCTAACACGCAAAAGGTCCCTGGTTCGAGACCGGGCAGAAACAAGCTGGCAATTTGGAATTATTGCTTTAATAACTGACCGATTATCATCACTATAGGATCAGATCCTCAATGAACAGCCCGAAAGCGAGACCTTGAGCAGAGCACAATTCCTGCTTTTGTAGCAAAGCGGATAAGATACAAAATGAAAGGGAATCTCTGGTTTTCCACAGAACTTGGAAGCCTGTCTCTTTATTTGCTCAGTAAGACTCTCAACTTGACTGGAAATTTTCCTGTAAAGTACTGGTCACCAAGTTCACCTATCAGCAAGAGGTCTCCGCTCGAAAAAGGCTGGGAGCGGTTTCCCTTCCATTGTGCTTTTGTAGCAAGGCAGATAACAGCTGCTTGCAAAATAACAGGGAATCTCTGCTTTTCCACTGACTGTGGAAGCCTGACTCTTTCCTTGATCAAGAAGACAAGGGTAAGGATGCGTTTGACTCGAGGTTGCAACTTGTAATTCCCCACCTCCAAGCAGGAACATACAACGCAACGCACCTCGACTTGAAATTGCCATTCGTCAACAATGGGAAGTCTTCTCAACTAGCAGTGTCTTCCCTGTTCTTGGAAGCGTCAACTCAACATGACCGATTCAGAACTCACAAAGTGCCACTATAGCTTTAAAAGTGCCATTATGGGCAGAATGCCAGTGTGGTGTGCAGTTTCAGATATGTGCATGTTCTCATAGCAGACCAAGCAGAAGCCACACTTTAGTCTATTGAAAGCCAAGATCAGCAGATCAAACAATTGGAATGAGGTGTGGCTCCTGCTAGATTGGAACGAAAACCTGAAGATTGGACAACCCTGCTTAAGACCAATCAGCATATAGGCATATTTGCTTGTTAAATATAAAACATTGACTATGTAGACAGCTGATAGCGGATAATGTACACCTCTCATCACAGTTTGCATGCTAACTTGTCTCTAACAGAAGACAGACCCGATTTTCTCACATTTTTGCCACTTGTTCACAGGTGAAACGTGCCCTGATGGATAATGATGCGCTTCCAAACAGCAAAGAATCACTAACAATACAACTGGGAAGCTGAAAGGCTTCTAAAAGGCCTGCATTGAAGATTATGGCACACTGTATTGCCAACTAATTTTCAGTTAGGTCCTTCCTTCCTTTTGTTCCAAGTACCATAAAGTAGCACTTAAAGGCTGAATTTACACTGTGCATTGGCCGGGAATCGAACCCGGGTCAACTGCTTGGAAGGCAGCTATGCTCACCACTATACCACCAATGCCCACCACTATAGCACCAATGCCATGATGGGAAATCCCATTGTGGTGTGCAAAAGTTTCAGAATGTGCATTTCTCATCAGCAGACCATAGTCAACAGAAGCCACACTTTAGTCTATTGAAAGCCAAGATCAGCAGATCAAACAATTGGAAGAGTGTGAACTACTGCTAGATTAGACAAACCTGAAGATTGGACAACCCTGCTTAAGACCAATTAGCATATAGGCATATTCCTGCTTGTTAAATATAAAACATTGACTATGTAGACAGCGGATAGCGGATAAATGTACACCTCTTGTCACATTTTGTCATGCTAACTTATTCGCTAACAGAAGACAGACCCGATTTTCGTCACATTTTGCCCCTAGTTCAAATGTGAAAGCGTGTCCTGATGGATAATGATGTGCTTCCAAACAGCAAGAATCACTAACAATACAACTAGGGAAGCTGAAAGGCTTCATGAAAGGGCTGCATTGAAGCCTATGGCACACTGTATTGCCAACTAATTTTCAGTTAGGTCCTTCCTTCCTTTTGTTCCAAGTACCATAAAGTAGCACAAAAGGCTGAATTCACACTGTGCATTGTGCGGGGAATGGAACCCGGTCAACTGCTTGGAAGGCAACTATACTACTACTATTCCACCAATACTGCACCGCTACTTACACATTGCCATGAGTATAGGAAATCCCATTGTGGTGTGCAAAAGTTTCAGAATGTGCATTTCTCATCAGCAGACCATAGTCAACAGAAGCCACACTTTAGTCTATTGAAAGCCAAGATCAGCAGATCAAACAATTGGAATGAGGTGTGGCTCCTGCTAGATTGGAACGAAAACCTGAAGATTGGACAACCCTGCTTAAGACCAATTAGCATATAGGCATATTTGCTTGTTAAATATAAAACATTGACTATGTAGACAGCGGATAGCGGATAATGTACACCTCTTGTCACAGTTTGCATGCTAACTTGTCGCTAACAGAAGACAGACCCGATTTTCTCACATTTTTGCCCCTAGTTCAAATGTGAAACGTGTCCTGATGGATAATGATGTGCTTCCAAACAGCAAGGAATCACTAACAATACAACTGGGAAGCTGAAAGGCTTCTGAAAGGCCTGCATTGAAGCCTAGGGCACACTGTATTGCCAACTAATTTTCAGTTAGGTCCTTCCTTCCTTTTGTTCCAAGTACCATAAAGTAGCACTTAAAGGCTGAATTTACACTGTGCATTGGCCGGGAATCGAACCCGGGTCAACTGCTTGAAGAGCACTATGCTGCTACCACTATACCACCAATACGCCACCGTTATAGCACCAATGCCATGATGGGAAATCCCATTGTGGTGTGCAAAAGTTTAAGAATGTGCATTTCTCATCAGCAGACCATAGTCAACAGCCAAAGTGAAGACGCTTGTGTGGTTTTCGTAGTGTAGTGGTTATCACGTTTGCCTAAGCACGCAAAGGTCCCTGGTTTCGAGACCGGGCAGAAACAAGCTGCCAATTTGGAATTTTGCTTTAATAACTGACCGGTTGTCATCACTATAGGATCAGATCCTCAATGAACAGCCCGAAGCGAGACCTTGAGCAGAGCAGAATTCCTGCTTTTGTAGCAAAGCAGATAAGATACAAAATGAAAGGGAATCTCTGGTTTTCCACAGAACTTGGAAGCCTGTCTCTTTATTTGCTCAGTAAGACTCTCAACTTGACTGGAAATTTTCCTGTAAAGTACTGGTCACCAAGTTCACCTATCAGCAAGAGGTCTCCGCTCGAAAAAGGCTGGGAGCGGTTTGGAATTTTGCTTTAATAACTGACCGGTTGTCATCACTATAGGATCAGATCCTCAATGAACAGCCCGAAAGCGAGACCTTGAGCAGAGCAGAATTCCTGCTTTTGTAGCAAAGCAGATAAGATACAAAATGAAAGGGAATCTCTGGTTTTCCACAGAACGTGGAAGCCTGTCTCTTTATTTGCTCAGTAAGACTCTCAACTTGACTGGAAATTTTCCTGTAAAGTACTGGTCACCAAGTTCACCTATCAGCAAGAGGTCTCCGCTCGAAAAAGGCTGGGAGCGGTTTCCCTTCCATTGTGCTTTTGTAGCAAGGCAGATAACAGCTGCTTGCAAAATAACAGGGAATCTCTGCTTTTCCACTGACTGTGGAAGCCTGACTCTTTCCTTGATCAAGAAGACAAGGGTAAGGATGCGTTTGACTCGAGGTTGCAACTTGTAATTCCCCACCTCCAAGCAGGAAAATACAACGAAAACGCACCCTCGACTTGAAATTGCCATTCGTCAACAATGAGAAGTCTTCTCAACTAGCAGTGCCTTCCCTGTTCATCGAGTGACGTCAAGTCAACATGACCGATTCAGAACTCACAAAGTGGCACTTACTTTAGATCAGGGTTGTCCAGTCTTATCCAGAATGAGCCAGTGTGGCTGAAGGTTTTCATACTAACCAAGCAGAAGCCACACTTTAGTCTATTGAAAGCCAAGATCAGCAGATCAAACAATTGGAATGAGGTGTGGCTCCTGCTAGATTGGAACGAAAACCTGAAGATTGGACAACCCTGCTTAAGACCAATTAGCATATAGGCATATTTGCTTGTTAAATATAAAACATTGACTATGTAGACAGCGGATAGCGGATAATGTACACCTCTTGTCACAGTTTGCATGCTAACTTGTCGCTAACAGAAGACAGACCCGATTTTCTCACATTTTTGCCCCTTGTTCAAAGGTGAAACGTGCCCTGATGGATAATGATGTGCTTCCAAACAGCAAGGAATCACTAACAATACAACTGGGAAGCTGAAAGGCTTCTGAAAGGGCTGCATTGAAGCCTATGGCACACTGTATTGCCAACTAATTTTCAGTTAGGTCCTTCCTTCCTTTTGTTCCAAGTACCATAAAGTAGCACTTAAAGGCTGAATTTACACTGTGCATTGGCCGGGAATCGAACCCGGGTCAACTGCTTGGAAGGCAGCTATGCTCACCACTATACCACCAATGCCATCCATTCTAGCACCAATGCCATGATGGGAAATCCCATTGTGGTGTGCAAAAGTTTCAGAATGTGCATTTCTCATCAGCAGACCATAGTCAACAGCCAAAGTAAGAAGCTTGTGTGGTTTCTGTAGTGTAGTGGTTATCACGTTTGCCTAACATGCAAAAGGTCCCTGGTTCGAGACCGGGCAGAAACAAGCTGCCAATTTGGAATTTTGCTTTAATAACTGACCGGTTGTCATCACTATAGGATCAGATCCTCAATGAACAGCCCGAAAGCGAGACCTTGAGCAGAGCAGAATTCCTGCTTTTGTAGCAAAGCAGATAAGATACAAAATGAAAGAGAATCTCTGGTTTTCCACAGAACTTGGAAGCCTGTCTCTTTATTTGCTCAGTAAGACTCTCAACTTGACTGGAAATTTTCCTGTAAAGTACTGGTCACCAAGTTCACCTATCAGCAAGAGGTCTCCGCTCGAAAAAGGCTGGGAGCGGTTTCCCTTCCATTGTGCTTTTGTAGCAAGGCAGATAACAGCTGCTTGCAAAATAACAGGGAATCTGCTGCTTTCCACTGACTGTGGAAGCCTGACTCTTTCCTTGATCAAGAAGACAAGGGTAAGGATGCGTTTGACTCGAGGTTGCAACTTGTAATTCCCCACCTCCAAGCAGGAAAATACACAACGCACCCTCGACTTGAAATTGCCATTCGTCAACAATGAGAAGTCTTCTCAACTAGCAGTGCCTTCCCTGTTCATCGAGTGACGTCAAGTCAACATGACCGATTCAGAACTCACAAAGTGGCACTTACTTTAGATCAGGGTTGTCCAGTCTTATCCAGAATGAGCCAGTGTGGCTGAAGGTTTTCATACTAACCAAGCAGAAGCCACACTTTAGTCTATTGAAAGCCAAGATCAGCAGATCAAACAATTGGAATGAGGTGTGGCTCCTGCTAGATTGGAACGAAAACCTGAAGATTGGACAACCCTGCTTAAGACCAATTAGCATATAGGCATATTTGCTTGTTAAATATAAAACATTGACTATGTAGACGCGCTGATAGCGGATAATGTACACCTCTCGTCACAGTTTGCATGCTAACTTGTCGCTAACAGAAGACAGACCCGATTTTCTCACATTTTTGCCCCTTGTTCAAAGGTGAAACGTGCCCTGATGGATAATGATGTGCTTCCAAAAAGCAAGGAATCACTAACAAACATGGAAGTTGAAAGGCGCTGCGAAAGGCCTGCATTGAAGCCTAGGGCACACTGTATTGCCAACTAATTTTCAGTTAGGTCCTTCCTTCTTGTTCCAAGTACCATAAAGTAGCACTTAAAGGCTGAATTTACACTGTGCATTGGCGGGAATCGAACCCGGGTCAACTGCTTGGAAGGAGCGCTATGCTCACCACTATACCACCAATGCCCACCGTTATAGCACCAATGCCGCATATGGGAAATCCCATTGTGGTGTGCAAAAGTTTAAGAATGTGCATTTCTCATCAGCAGACCATAGTCAACAGCCAAAGTGAAACGCTTGTGTGTGGTTTCTGTAGTGTAGTGGTTATCACGTTTGCCTAACACGCAAAAGGTCCCTGGTTCGAGACCGGGCAGAAACAAGCTGCCAATTTGGAATTTTGCTTTAATAACTGACCGGTTGTCATCACTATAGGATCAGATCCTCAATGAACAGCCCAAAAGCGAGACCTTGAGCAGAGCAGAATTCCTGCTTTTGTAAAAGCAGATAAGATACAAAATGAAAGGGAATCTCTGGTTTTCCACAGAACTTGGAAAGCCTGTCTCTTTATTTGCTCAGTAAGACTCTCAACTTGACTGGAAATGCAAGAATAAGAAGATAAGATACAAAATGAAAGGGAATCTCTGGTTTTCACAGAACTTGGAAGCCTGTCTCTTTATTTGCTCAGTAAGACTCTCAACTTGACTGTCTCTTTATTTGCTCAGTAAGACTCTCAACTTGACTGGAAATTTTCCTGTAAAGTACTGGTCACCAAGTTCACCTATCAGCAAGAGGTCTCCGCTCGAAAAAGGCTGGGAGCGGTTTCCCTTCCATTGTGCTTTTGTAGCAAGGCAGATAACAGCTGCTTGCAAAATAACAGGGAATCTCTGCTTTTCCACTGACTGTGGAAGCCTGACTCTTTCCTTGATCAAGAAGACAAGGGTAAGGATGCGTTTGACTCGAGGTTGCAACTTGTAATTCCCCACCTCCAAGCAGGAAAATACAACGAAAACGCACCCTCGACTTGAAATTGCCATTCGTCAACAATGAGAAGTCTTCTCAACTAGCAGTGCCTTCCCTGTTCATCGAGTGACGTCAAGTCAACATGACCGATTCAGAACTCACAAAGTGGCACTTACTTTAGATCAGGGTTGTCCAGTCTTATCCAGAATGAGCCAGTGTGGCTGAAGGTTTTCATACTAACCAAGCAGAAGCCACACTTTAGTCTATTGAAAGCCAAGATCAGCAGATCAAACAATTGGAATGAGGTGTGGCTCCTGCTAGATTGGAACGAAAACCTGAAGATTGGACAACCCTGCTTAAGACCAATTAGCATATAGGCATATTTGCTTGTTAAATATAAAACATTGACTATGTAGACAGCTGATAGCGGATAATGTACACCTCTCGTCACAGTTTGCATGCTAACTTGTCGCTAACAGAAGACAGACCCGATTTTCTCACATTTTTGCCCCTTGTTCAAAGGTGAAACGTGCCCTGATGGATAATGATGTGCTTCCAAACAGCAAAGAATCACTAACAATACAACTGGGAAGCTGAAAGGCTTCTGAAAGGCCTGCATTGAAGCCTAGGGCACACTGTATTGCCAACTAATTTTCAGTTAGGTCCTTCCTTCCTTTTGTTCCAAGTACCATAAAGTAGCACTTAAAGGCTGAATTTACACTGTGCATTGGCCGGGAATCGAACCCGGGTCAACTGCTTGGAAGGCAGCTATGCTCACCACTATACCACCAATGCCCACCGCTATAGCACCAATGCCATGATGGGAAATCCCATTGTGGTGTGCAAAAGTTTAAGAATGTGCATTTCTCATCAGCAGACCATAGTCAACAGCCAAAGTAAGAAGCTTGTGTGGTTTCTGTAGTGTAGTGGTTATCACGTTTGCCTAACACGCAAAAGGTCCCTGGTTCGAGACCGGGCAGAAACAAGCTGCCAATTTGGAATTTTGCTTTAATAACTGACCGGTTGTCATCACTATAGGATCAGATCCTCAATGAACAGCCCGAAAGCGAGACCTTGAGCAGAGCAGAATTCCTGCTTTTGTAGCAAAGCAGATAAGATACAAAATGAAAGGGAATCTCTGGTTTTCCACAGAACTTGGAAGCCTGTCTCTTTATTTGCTCAGTAAGACTCTCAACTTGACTGGAAATTTTCCTGTAAAGTACTGGTCACCAAGTTCACCTATCAGCAAGAGGTCTCCGCTCGAAAAAGGCTGGGAGCGTGATTTAAATACTTCACAC